AAGGCCATTAACTTGGTCTAAACAAGCTTCCAAAGAACATGGCATCCATGAAAGAGAAAAAGAAAAGAACAAAAGGACAGTTGAAGTACTGAGGAAGAAATCACTAAGAAGTTGTTGAAAAAATAATAATATGAAGTGATATCAAAAAATTGCAAATAAAGTTTCAAAACATATAATAGAGAACTGAAATGTATAAATATGTCACAATATATATTTATATAGTGTATATGAGGCCCCTAGAGCCATAAGAAATGCAAAAAAATCATTGTTAATAACTCATTCTTGAATTTCCCCCCTTAAAATTCAAATTGCCCCCCTGTGAGGCGTGTGCCCCACATTAGGAACCACTTGTCTAAACATACTAATATATTGTATTGTATTATTGTCCTTTATCTAGCAGCTTTCTCCAAAGAGGTCTTTCTATTATTTTTCCAGTAGGTGGTGCTGAATCACAAGATTTTTACCTCAGTGACCTACCAGAGTTGCTCTCCTTAGCTTCTGTAAGACAGTACAGCCACACTGCTTTGGGGTGGGGTTTGTTTTACCCTCACTGTAATGGCAACCCTGTAGAGTGCCCCCCACGCACCCCACCTAGGGATCAATTGGAGAGGGAAACAATTGCAATTGCAATTCTATTGCAGTAACTGTCAGTTAGCAGGTAATATGCTCCTCTACCTGACACCAAGGACAACTAGAGGAGAGCTGTGGGAGTCTACGGAGTGGCAGTGCTCTGTGGCTCCATTTCTTTGTCTGAAACGCCACCACCCAATGGCGGACAGCCACGGCAGAACCCCTATGCTGTGTCCTTGCCCGGGTGGCTCTGCTGACTTAGCTGCTGTTCGCACTGCTCACCCTGCTGGAGAGCCCACTGAAACTCTGTTTCTCCCAGCCCATGGAAGACCTGCTACCACTGGTTTCCTCCCCTCTCCGGCCAAACTGATTGCCAGCTCCTGGCTGCAGGGCTGCGTAGGTGGCCATTTGAGTTCTCCCTTCTTGCCTCCCTGTTTTTTCCTAGTTGCCCATCTTTAGATGCTTCAATGCATGGGTCTCTCACGCCTGCTTCTATATTGACAGGGAGTCCTTAGATGAGTTATAGTTGATCAACTTGTTGAAGTTTCAAAGGGAAACTTGTTGAAGTTTCAAAGGGAGAGGCCGAGTGGATCTCTTATGCCACTATTGCTCTGACCAAGGTTCTTTATATATATATTTTAAAGATATATA